GGCCAGGGCTCGAACCCGGACCGCTCGATCCGGAGACGAGCACACTAACCATGAGGCCACCGCACCTCCCAATGACATGTACATAGCTTAGGTTATTGTTTTTGGCAATGCCGCTATAATGGCAATAGCTGCATGTACACAGTACTATATACTGCAGCACTAGGATAAGCCTTAGTGATTAAAGAAAAAATCATAAGTGCAGCCAGCAGTAACATTAGCATTAACAGTCTCACTGCAAAAAAAAAAAAAAGCAGTGATACAGTTTACAAATGTTTCTAAGTATGTTTCAAAGTCAGACCCAATTCCTTTCAAGTGTTCATTTACAGGAACTTAAAAACAAAGGAGAAGTCTAGATCATAAGCCCTCCAAGTGTCTGCGGCCGCTTGCGAGCATGTCTGCTTAAAGGAATGAGTAAATAAAGAGTTTGTAAGGGAGCTTAAACAGGGTTTTGGAAGGCGGATGTTAGTAGAGGTGTTTGCTTACGAAAGTGTCCATTAAGAGAGCTTCCACTGTATATGTGCCTACAGTTAGTCAGTGCACACCTCTTGTAAATGGACTGGGGTAGCTTTCATAATAGCCTGCGAACCGTACCAGCATCAGAATGACGTAGCAGCATCTAGTTAATCATTATACAGAATACACACAAAACAAGGTAGCAATATTTACTGGTGTTTGAAGCTCTGGTGTTGTTACTGCTGCACTGAGACCATCAAGCCCACTAGCCAGGTCAAAATCACAAATCTTGACTGGAGATATCTAAAGCAAAAATTTAATTAATTTGTATCTCCAAAACATTGTACAGTCAAGATAATATCAACAGTTAGACCCTTGCAAAAGATGCATAGATGGCTACAGGCTGTTGGAATAAGGTTTTCTAGTTCTTCTTCTTACAAGCTATCAACAACTCATTAAAAAAGTAATTTTGAAAAACAAAAGGATTGGAATATCTTGATATTGGTTGTTCATGAAGTGATTAGTTAGTCAAATGATTTTGTTACAGGAGTAGTTAGCTAACCTGATTTTCACAAGCACAAAGTATATTCTCTGGCTTCAGATCTCGGTGAGCTATACCTGGAAACAGAAAGCATATTCATAATTGTCAGTGAAACAGTCAACAATACATTACAATCGCATTTAACTCTATGCTGATAACAACAGTCTAAGTATCTTTATAGTCCAATTCAAGAGAAATAATGAATGCTTTGTTTAACATTCTGTACCTTTTTTATGGAGAAAATCCAATGCGGATACTATATCCTTCACAACCAGGCTTGCTTCTTTCTCTGTAAAAGCTTTTTTCTTTTCAATATATTTTANAGAAAAAATCATAAGTGCAGCCAGCAGTAACATTAGCATTAACAGTCTCACTGCAAAAAAAAAAAAAAGCAGTGATACAGTTTACAAATGTTTCTAAGTATGTTTCAAAGTCAGACCCAATTCCTTTCAAGTGTTCATTTACAGGAACTTAAAAACAAAGGAGAAGTCTAGATCATAAGCCCTCCAAGTGTCTGCGGCCGCTTGCGAGCATGTCTGCTTAAAGGAATGAGTAAATAAAGAGTTTGTAAGGGAGCTTAAACAGGGTTTTGGAAGGCGGATGTTAGTAGAGGTGTTTGCTTACGAAAGTGTCCATTAAGAGAGCTTCCACTGTATATGTGCCTACAGTTAGTCAGTGCACACCTCTTGTAAATGGACTGGGGTAGCTTTCATAATAGCCTGCGAACCGTACCAGCATCAGAATGACGTAGCAGCATCTAGTTAATCATTATACAGAATACACACAAAACAAGGTAGCAATATTTACTGGTGTTTGAAGCTCTGGTGTTGTTACTGCTGCACTGAGACCATCAAGCCCACTAGCCAGGTCAAAATCACAAATCTTGACTGGAGATATCTAAAGCAAAAATTTAATTAATTTGTATCTCCAAAACATTGTACAGTCAAGATAATATCAACAGTTAGACCCTTGCAAAAGATGCATAGATGGCTACAGGCTGTTGGAATAAGGTTTTCTAGTTCTTCTTCTTACAAGCTATCAACAACTCATTAAAAAAGTAATTTTGAAAAACAAAAGGATTGGAATATCTTGATATTGGTTGTTCATGAAGTGATTAGTTAGTCAAATGATTTTGTTACAGGAGTAGTTAGCTAACCTGATTTTCACAAGCACAAAGTATATTCTCTGGCTTCAGATCTCGGTGAGCTATACCTGGAAACAGAAAGCATATTCATAATTGTCAGTGAAACAGTCAACAATACATTACAATCGCATTTAACTCTATGCTGATAACAACAGTCTAAGTATCTTTATAGTCCAATTCAAGAGAAATAATGAATGCTTTGTTTAACATTCTGTACCTTTTTTATGGAGAAAATCCAATGCGGATACTATATCCTTCACAACCAGGCTTGCTTCTTTCTCTGTAAAAGCTTTTTTCTTTTCAATATATTTTAGAAGTGGCCCTAAAATTGACATTAGTACAAATATAATTACAACAAACTTTTCACTGCAGAAGACTTCAAACTTATGACCTTTTAACAATCTGCATTGAAGCAAATGCATTTAAACTAGTTTTATTAGCATGTGTCATACAGCAACTTAATTTAGTATTTCAATTAAAATTCTGTATGAGGACAAATCTAAAGATGAAAACACAAAATTACAGCTAGCAACGTTTTTATTTATTGAAAGACAGTCTAGTCATTTGCAAATGCATTTTCCATAGAAGTTTTTGTTTATTTAATTTTCTTTGGCAATTTCTTTTAGTCAAGTACATATCATTTAAAAGAAGCTTTTCAATCACAGTTTCATATAATTTTTGTTAAATTAAAAGATTACTAACCATCCATTCTTGATTTTATGTTGTTGAATATTTTCATTTTTTCTCATTTGATAAAAAAAACAACAAGTGAATCCATTCTGGGCAAGGATTCAGTGGGTTCCTTGAGGCAACATGATCCAAGTGATCTTGGATCAATGATCCTCATCTAAACAATCCCAGAACACACCCTTAAAATAGTTGTTAATAAAATTTTGTTACCTCCTCTCATCTTTTCAAATATCAGATAAAACCTAAGAGTTGAAATAACGAAGAGAGATTACTAATAAACATTATGTCAATCACTTTTTAAACATCTGTTTTTTTAACATCTTGACATGACAATAGTTAGCTAAAAATTAGTCTTTATCTCCAGGCTATTAGAAAGACGCCAATTAAAGGGAAAAATTACTACTCACTTGTGGCTGTCTTCAAAATATTCAATACAGTCAATAATATTTCTGAGAAACAAAGAAGAGAATTATCAGTAAAAAATTCTGTTGAAGGGAATCAGTGGAAATTTTTAACAAATGTTAAATAAATGGTAGATAACCATGTGCAAAGAAAGTTGTGTCTGATAGTCCAGGGCTTGACAGTGCATTTTGTAGACAGGCTGGTGGATTTTCCTTTGCATGCTCAATGGGGAAGTAAAATTTTTGAAGAAACCAAAATTACAGGAGTATTGTAAGAGATCAAAATAATTATTATTGAGTTAAATTAACTAAAACAGTCCACTCTCGCATTGCGGAACCCGCTATTACAGACGCTTGCTATTAAAGACAAAATCCAAATCCCCTGCAAAAGCTATTAACAGCAGTTTGACCAGAAATGACTCCCGCTATTACGGACACTAAACAACATCCCCGAGCGTGTCCGCTATAACAAGAGTTGACTGTAGTTCTTAACTGATAAAAAATTTTGAAGAAAAAGTAAGAATTACAATTACTTTTGGGCTGGTACATCATTATAATTACACCTTGTCCAAACAGTAAACTCAAAAATTGGTTTTCTTTGTACCCTGAAACTAGAGACACAAATAAATGCCCTTCTTGAGGATGACAAAAAAATAGTTTTGAAATAAAACAGATTTTACTTGTGTCCGCGGCATTGGTAGAGTAACTCTATTTCATTGAGTACACGTCTTCTGTCAACATTTGCAGACTTGTCAATAATCTGTTGAAGGAATGATCCAAACATTAAACCACTGAACATGACACTGATGGACACATTTTAGGGAAGGCCTGGGAACTGCACAAATTTGGTTGACTGTTCTCAAGATATTCTCCACTGACACTTACTTTGGTAACTAAAAAGATGTATGATAAACTGTCCTTCTCCCCACTTCTTGCCCTTGTTCAATAAAAGACTCAGTGCTGAGATGATATCAATAATGTGTAGTTCTAGGAAATATTAATACCCACTCCAAAGAAGGTCAAATATGGCAATTCCAAGGGGGAGAAGGGTTTCAAGAACCAAAAGCATAGAGCTTAAGTATAAGAGGTGCAGTGGCCTTGAGGTTAGTGCACTTGTCTCTGGATTGAGTGATTCAAGTTCGAGCCCCAGCTGGGGACATTGGATTGTGTTCTTGCCTCTGACTCCACCCAGGTGTATAAATGAGTACCGACGAACTTAATGCTGGGGGTATCCCTGCTATGGACTAGCATCCCATCCAGGGGGGAGTAGAGATATTCCTAGTCGCTTCATGCTACAGTAACCGGGATAAGCTCTGGCCTGATGAACCACTTGGTTTGTATGCAGACTTAACCTTGCTAGGGCTAAAGTGAAATTTCCACAGGGATATAGAGGTACCTAAGGGAGGAGTATGGATATTTTCCAGAGCAACATAATAGAAAGAGCTCCAAAGGACAATCAGGTTGCAATAAAGACCATAACAAGAAAGTTCCTTAACCTTGACAGCATACTCCTGGTTTGTAGCAAGCTTGACACAAGTTTTCACTGTTGTATGAGCTCCTTGCCCTAGAACATCATCCAGTACCTTGTATATATCTTGGGAGAATAACAAATACATTAAAAATTTATATTTACTGTTTTAATTTATAAATATGTTACAAGAGACCTTCTTATAGAGTGCATGATCACACTGACAGTAGTTTAGGTCACCTAGCTCGAGCATGTTTTCGTAAGTATGAAGCAAAAACAGCACTTCACAAAACACAGTTCTTTGATAGACATTATTTGCTTCCACTCACCATAAAAACTTTCGCAAACACTATCACTAGCCCTTTTCTTTTTTCGTTTCTTTTTCTTTGCTTGAGCTTGAGGCTGGAAAATGTCTGAAAAAGAACAAATCATTTTTTTTAAATTTTCCTAGAATACAAAAATGTTTTAACTTGTGGGAACTATTGAATGTCACTAATTTTGGAAAAAAGACATCATCAAAGGGATCTTTCTCTCTGCAAATCAAAAACTGAACCATGATCTCACTCCTACAGACAAGTATTATTTATTATACCTAGCTGAAAAATTCGAATAATCGCAGCCTTAATTGACACTTATTTAAGTTATGTAAGCTGGAACTTTTCTCAAAGTACCAGAGATGGCATCATTTAAAGCAAAACACATCTTGGGAATGGAATCAGGAAATGTTTGATACATCTTTGGAAAGTCCTCAAAAAATTTCAGATGTTTAGGTCATCTTTGAAATCCTGGTGATCCCAGGATATAAATCTCATGTAGGCCTGTGTGCCAATATCATACCCTCAGTAGGAGGTTCCATGTCTTCACCATGTTCAAGAAGGTTTTCCGTCCTTGCATTGTCACTCTCACTGCCTGATTTCCCTGGATGTGGCTTCTCTCTGGGAGCATTTTCAGAATTACTTGCTTTCTTGTTCATCGTAGGAATGTGCATCTGTAATTGCAAACAAAACCTTTAGCATTAGGTAGGCATTAGGTCTTGGACAAAAAAAGCCATGGATCCTATGGACGATTATTGCTATCTACTGTGTCAAGTCACCCATATTTACCAGTACTTAACAATACATTTTGTTTGGCTTGCATAAGGCACAAACTTAGTTTGAAGTTAAATCTCACACAAAATATGCTAACTTACTTAGTTTATAGGGGATATAGGAAACTATTACTGATATTGACTAGACTGTATTTATTGTATTTTTTGGTGAAGGTTCTCACAGCTGTTTTGTAAAGTATCATACAGCAGCATAACCATGAGAACCTTCACCTGGAGTTCAGGTTCTCTCTGTGTCACTTCGGAAGTGAAATGACAAACTTAAAAGTCCAGGGCAGTCATTAAGTCGTGATTCACCTGTTGCCTTGATTTTCACGCCCATAACAAACTTGTTACATCATGGGTGAATTACATCAACTACTGAAAAGTTCACCCATAACATCAAGTGCCCATCAAACATACTCAGTCCTAACAGATGTTACAGGTTACGGTCCCTATTGACAGCCCTGAACTTAACTACATTGATTATGTTCTTTGAACAATACCATATTTGCTTGATTAAACACCATAAATCCTCAAATTAGTGCCCCTCTCAAATAAGCGCCCCCTTTGAATAAATGCCTCTCCTATCAGCCAAAGTTTAAAATAAGCGCCTCCCCTCGAATAAGGGCCCCCTCCCATTTCCCTGTATTATAGACGAGTACTGAGACAACAAAGGATGTATAGTTTTGGTCGTGTTCAATCACAAGCAAGTGATTATTGACTTATTCAAGCTCTGCACATCGACTGTCACAAAGGATTAGTAGCAAAGATCCGTTGATTCATTGCCTAAAGCTGAGCCAACCTTATGCAACAGCATGACTGACACATACATATATTATAAAATAATCAACCATATGTGACTATGATTTGGGAAAAATTAAATAACCCTCTCCCCTGATTAAGCGCCCCCCTCAAACAAGCACCCCCTCCCCCCCATTTTCTCCTAAATTTGAAATAATTTTCTGGGATTCATGGTACCCCAGGAATATTTTTTTCAAACTTGGCCTGGTGGACATGGTGTTAACTAGACTCGTGCAGTCTTTGTCAAGCTTAGATATCAATACTTAATTGAAAAAAGGTGACACAGTAAGACAAAATCTGAGGTTTTTATCCTTAAATATAAATACAGTTCTTAACTGGAATGTACCAGAATAGCTTAGACTTCAAAACTCACGTTAAATGAATCATGAAACAGTCTTAACTCTTGAACTGTATTTTCTGTAGAACAAATAACAATATTATTATCACACTTAAAGTTCAGTGGAACCCCACTCTATCAACACTTGGTTAATACAGCAAGATGCACAAAGAAAACAAATTTTGTCCTTCAAGTACACTCAAGTATATTTACACTGTTATGCAATGTCATATAATAGTGTTCACGGCTCCCAAGGAGCTTGGGATGCCTGTGGATGTACCAGCCATCAAAACCATTCTCACTAGCCACCCTAAAAGTTCATGTTTTTTTTCCTCACAATACTTTTGAATTCCCTGAAGATTTTCCCAAAAAACTTCATTTGCCCATCAGGAAAGAGACCCACACAATCCACAAGCCCTGTCTGGAAGTTCTACTAGTCTATAGGACAGGACTTTCTCTGCACACTGTACAGACACCCCCTACTAAAGTACAGTTTTGTTTGTCCCAACAAAAAGCTAATATATTTTCTCTTATTTCAGCCCACTTAGTGTTTATACAGTTTAATATGGATGAAAGACACTTTTTGGTGACCCAAGTGACACTTTCATACAAAGTTAACTTCTCATTTGCACACAGTAGAATTTCATTTTTAATGATCATTTTTTAATGGTACCCCATTAGAAATTACATTTTAATTTTTTCTACAGGTTAATGCGATTTACAAAAGTCAGCACTCATGGACTATATAAATGATTATTTTTCCACTTTTAAACTGGCAAAAACAACATTGATTTTTGGCAGAGACATTTGGCTAGCTAAATGACAGGGCACGTAAAAAGTGCCATCCGGTCATCTAGATTTTCCCTCTGGGCAAGTAACTTTTCATTTTCACTTGCCTCATGGGCAAGGGATCAGGCAAGTTGTTTGTCAACTATATCATTAAAAGAGCAAACTATGACCCCAGGACAAGCAAAATTTGAAAGCTACTTGTCCCAAGGGCAAGCTGGAATTCAAGTTTAAAGATTAAGGATTAAAGAAAAGTTTTTTTGAAGCCCCTAATGAGCACAATGCTTCTTTAATTTGAATTCAACTAACTACTGATCAGAACTAGCCGTAAATAGGCAAACCTGAGCACTATACAGACTATCCCGAGTGATATTCAGGCTAACCAAAGCACTATTTAGACCTAAATGTAGTCTGCAGACTGTAGTCTAATCTGAAAATTTAATACACCATTCTGAAGCACACTTAACTTTTGCTATGCCTCTGTTGTCTGAATTACGCAGGTAGCAAAGTGGAGGGGGGTTGTGGACTGGCTTCACGCACACAAAATTTGTGTATCACTGTCATGTACTTTTAGCTACTTTTAACAATGTTTTATTTTTTCATTAATTCATGCAACACATGTCTTTTCAACCCTGAGAGAAGAGCCTCTTTTATCTCTTTTTTGAGCAGACAGGAGACAGAAGTATATACCGTAAAAAACGCTCTGCTTGCAGGGTGGTCTTTGCACAAGTCACCCACTATTTTTTGCCCTTGTGTCACATATGAACCCTTTGTCACCCTCTATTAACTGGGTTCCACTGTATACATGAAAATTGTGCATGTTTATGAAAATGACCAGTTTGTTTACAATCATTTCACAATCAAACATTCTAGTGCATTCCAACGCTGGGGTTTGTTTGCGAGTTTTTATTACCAACTAAATTGAACCCATTAAGCCATTTCCAAGATACCTTGGGCATCATGCAAAACCTTTCAATGAAAATGAATTTGATTTGCATCAAAAAGCACCTGTAGAGGAAACATATTTTCATAACAATGGTTTTTCACAAAGACTTGTTTTAACACAGAGGCAAAAGGCAACTCCGAAATGGCCCATTAGGTTTGATAGAATTTAATTAATCAAACTCTTAATTCTGTTTTGATTAGTATTGTTTCAAAAGCAGCAGGAAAGTCCACTCCTAAAAATTTAACACATTAATTTTCCTAAAATATTTGCTTATGTTTTACTTCCGTTCTCTCTTCAGCTTTCTCTGATATGGGTTTGCTGGGGATCTCCTCAAACACATGAACAACAATAATTCCCAATGGGGAAATCAGAATGGGGCTTTGTAGCCCATACGTAGTAGCAGATATCTTTAAAAAATACTTAAACAGAATTCGCTAACTGTTCCCTTGCCCAACCAAAACAAACCTCCCCTTTGCTTTGACTAGCAGTCACGTAAGCTAAATTTAACTGAAATATTAAAATTTTCGAATGCTAAGGTTTTTCCAGTCATACTTTAAGATTTGCTTACCTTTTCCTTTACTTTCACCATCATTTGCAAGCTAAATTAGACGACAAAGATGAAATTATCAACTTATATTTATAACCGAAAAAATTTGCACAGCGAAGCAACAAATTTCACTTTATGCGACGTGAAAACATTAGTAACTGCAGAGGTTTTCTAACGCTATAAATCTGTATAAATCCACTTGGTTAGAGAGAACTTTTTTGGGGAAGCATTGAAGAACAACAACAAAAATTTAACTGTCAAAACAAACCCTGAAATTTTTGCTGAAATGGATAAGTTCTTCCACATCCGCCATCGTCCCGCGAACTTTTTAAACACGCAAGGTAGCCGCTCGTTCTCTGAAGATATCCGGAATTTTGCGAAGATTTCCCGAATGATGTCGATTTCTTCCGAGAAAAAGGAAAGCGCAAAAACCCGAAAATATAATCCTGTTCCTGACAAAAGTTTCACGAGTCATCATTTTAGAAGAAGGGAAAAGAGAAAATGATGAAAATGATGAAAATACGTAACAAATAGATTTAGAACAAACATTTTTGTGTTCCAAATTTGGAGAATTACAGGGGAAAAGTTATCATTTCAAGAAAATCGTCCAAGAAATTTTAAGGAATTTGGATGATGCTTTATAAGTTTGAGATAAAAAGAGTGCAATCTGCTGTTTTTAAAAGAAAAAAGTTAACTTTTCCTTTAAAAAATATGTGAGGCAAAAGAGAATAAAAAAGTCCGAAGCTTCAAATTGTCGCGGATCGAAACTTCCAGAAACTAACCAATGACATTCAATCAAATTATCTGATCAACCAATCATATCTCTCACATTTGAGCCAATCAGAACGCAACGCGCCTTGTATAAATTTTTCATTCGCACTTGTATGCGTTCATTCTGTTCCTGTGAATTGCACTTTCGTCATGGCTCGCACGAAGCAAACTGCGCGTAAATCAACTGGTGGAAAAGCCCCACGAAAACAGCTCGCCACAAAGGCAGCTCGTAAGAGCGCTCCTGCCACCGGTGGAGTCAAGAAACCTCNCATCCACGCCAAGCGCGTCACCATCATGCCCAAGGACATTCAGTTAGCCCGCCGAATCCGTGGAGAGCGAGCATAAAGTGGATAACACCTTCACAAAACAAACGGCTCCTTTAGGAGCCAACAACTTTAAAAAGCAATGGCCAACATTAAAAAGTCCAATTACCCGACCCATTCCAAATATTTTCTTAAATTTTCCTGCCAAACGTAATGGCGGCAAAGTGGCTGAATTTGGCGCCAAAAATGCATAAATGAGGAAAGATGGTTTTCCTCTTGTGGATATTAGAAGAATTTTATATCCACTGCGATAAAATTCATTTATCAACCAACTCTGTTTTGACTAAAAAGGTATTTCTTGTTTTAACAAAATCGTGCTGTAACTCGAGTCTTCTGACTCTTCTCGTAAGTCACTCGCAAAAGTTTTTACAGTCTGAACCTAAAGTCTCGAAGAAAATGGCTGAGCCCTCTAAAGGCTAGTTTTCACTAGAACATAAGCACAAGCATAAGCATAAGCACAAGTGAAAACCGCCACGACATAAACATAAGAACGAACCCACTCATTTGTCTTGTGCAGTTTTCACTAGTAACGCGCTCGACATAAGCATAAGCATAAGCACAAGAGAAACGAACAGTTCCGTTTTTCTTGTGCTTATGTTTATGCTTATGTCGAGCGCGTTACTAGTGAAAACTGCACGAGACAAATAAGTGGGTTCGTTCTTCTTATGTTTCTGCTTATGCTTATGTTTATGTCGTGGCTGTTTTCACTTGTGCTTATGCTTATGCTTGTGCTTGTGCTTATGCTCTAGTGAAAACCAGCCTTAATAATTGAGTGGTACTCGGTTTTAGGGTGTTAAACTTCGGTTTTAGTTGGCCGAGAACTCGTAAATCACAATTTATGAGCTAGATTCAAGGTTGGTAGCACTGAGATGGACCTACCTTGCTAGCGGAGTCTTCGATGGAATCGATGATCGAAGAAGACCCTGCTCTATCATCCTTGAATCATTAATGAATGACCTTATCCTTTGGCTCAAGTAGAATATTGAATAAAATTATACGTAATGTGAAAGAAAATATGTTCAAAATTCAAAAGATTGCAAATCCTGGCCTTTTGACTGTTCAGATAGTAAATCTATGCGCGGTTGTTTCGCCAACGTCCTAAGTCGCTTCGCCAACGTCCTACTGGTCAATTCGCCAACGTCAGATATCCAGTACTAACGAAAAAAAGCTGCTAATTGATGTCTGGAATGCAATTCTGATCCTTGGGTCAAGAAATTTAAATTTTTGAGACAGTCTGTTTTTGATAGTTTCACAAACTGGCTCGTGGGCACTACATCGCGGTAATTTTCACGGTGAAAATTGACTGTTGAATACCAAAGTTCGGATCGGCTGTTTGTAGACGCACCAGTTTCTCTTAGCGGGAGGGGTAGCGTAGCAGATTCGCACTTACCATTATGACGGCTTAGGATATTCAGACATTATCCAGCTTTGGTTTGTTTCGAGTTTGACGAAACATCCAACGATTAGACGATAAAGAAAAGAGGTCAAAGCAGCGTTGGCGAATTGACCAGTAGGACGTTGGCGAAGCGACTTAGGACGTTGGCGAATCGACCTAAGACATTAGCGAACGAGATGTTGGGGAAACAACTCGTTGGCGAAACGACTGGATACAACTCAGAATGGAAATCAGTTTCAGAGCTGAACTCGTCTCCAATAGAAACGTCTTCTGAAATTCTCTGCAATGAGGTTACAAAAACTATATACATACAATTTTATCTCAACCGAGGTCAACATTTTTTTCCTCACTATTTTCCATTCTGAGAATGCCAGTACTTCTGGAAGGAACCTAAGCTGGCGAGCGCGTCAAAACTACCATTGGCCTTGAACTATAGCGTCCTTGAACTATATGCGCTGACCATCGCCTCTCTGAGACGAGGATGCCAACATAGCGTCCGCCATGGCGGCGACACTCTCTTTGTAACTCAAAGAAAGATCCATTTTTCTCAGCGAATTTGTATATGTTATTTACCGGCTTACGGTCGGTCCGTATGGTGAAAAACTGTGACCGAGGTCTTGAAAATGCTGCCCGAGGCCTGCGGCCTCGGGCGGCATTTTTTTTCGAACTACTTTGTGTTAGTTGAATTTATTTCACCAGTTAAGTTCTCCAAAGTTGTTTTTGCTGTGTGAAATTTCGTGCGAAGTTTGAAGTTTACTACAAAAACAATTTCTGTCAGTCGATGCTTTTAAAATCACTTCATCACTTTTCTACCGTAAATTGAATAGCAGAAAGCAAGGAAATTCGTTAAGTG